CTGAGACAGCGAGACATCTCGAATGGACGCGGGAAGGGGTGCTGAGGGGGCTGCAGCACCCCCATCTGCGAGGCTCCACTGGCACCCGCACCCCAGCGCATCACAGTTTCACCGCTGAGAGTGTGTGTGTGTGTGTGTGTGTGTGTGTGTGTGTGTGTGTGTGTGTGTGTGTGTGTGTGTGTGTGTGTGTATGTGTGTGTGTGAGAGGAGCTCCACGGATTGGTCCATTTGGACCAATGGGTCCATTTGGGTATGGTCACGTCACTGTACCCAGGAAGAAAAAGAGAAATCTCCAACGAGGCGTTCTGGGGCAGCATAGACAGGTCTTTTCTGTGTTAGAGTTTTACTNTCCATTTGAGTATGGGCACATCACTGTACCCAGGAAGAAAACAATTGAAAAAGATAAATGTCCAACGAGGCGTTCTGGGGCAGCATAGACAGGTCTTTTCTGTGTTAGAGTTTTACTCGCTACAGGGTGTACTTTGAGGGGTTGTGACTTTGCAGACCGTTTACATGCAGAAAAACCATCATAACACACAAGGGGACGGGTAATAACCGGAAAAGCATGACATGGGACCTTTGAGTGTGTGGTTTTCCCACAACAACACATGTATGTTGTATCCGTCTGTACTCACATTTCCTTCTGCATTTTCCTCTGCATTTTCCTCTGCTTCCTCATGCTCATTCTCAGTATACATGTCATCCACTTCCATGGCTATAGAAAAAAAAGTTTGTAACTTAATGCCACCAAGATTATACATAGAGGAAATAATAATTTGCTATCGATTAATTATGAATCGTTACCTTCAGGCTGGCTCATCTTTGTTTCAAACATTTGGCTGATTGTCATGTTTTGCAAGGCTTTGATGTCTGACACAATGTCCTTTGACCGTCTGAGGTCATCAATGTGAACTGATCTCCAGGGGCCTGTAAATATTAACATGTGTCGGATTATTCTTCAACCATTCGATAATTTTTTTTAAAAAAAATCACAACTCTTATTAACTTTACCTCCATGAAAGCCGATGTAGGAAGTCCCTCCTTCCATTCTTGGCAGTCTGGTGATAAAGTAGACAAACACCCTGCTTCCGTTGCTCTCGTGAGTTATCTTGTTGATTTCATTCATGGATGAATATCTAAAAGAAAACAGCAAAACTAAATATGGCGAATCCCAAAATGGACATATAACCAACAAAGAGGAAATGTTTGACCTACTTTGCAGATGCAATGAGATTGGCACTGCGAGAGGCTTCGTCGAAATCACTCTGAATGAGGAGGATCTTGTTGGGGGGTCCAGTGTTACTGCTTCCATTATCAGCTGTGAGGAAGTTCCTACAAGAAAACAGGGAATTGAAGTTGACTGACAACATACTGAAAGATCAGAAGTGTATGTTCTTGGTAATAATAATTCAATGCTTTTCTGAACATACATTATACCCCTTAAAAATACTGTAACAAAGGATATATTTAATGTACATTTAAAAAAAGACAGTTCACCCCAAGAACAAAATTCATTTGCCTATAGTGTTTTTATCAATATAGATTGTTTTGTTGCACGTTGCTGAAGCTTGGATAAAATGGCCACATATCATGAACCTGTTAGTCAAGATATTGATTAACAGTCATGTTGGAACAGTTTCATTTTGGAAAAAAAAATGTTTCTCCTTTGAATACTTTTTTTACAACTTACTATACCATTATTAAGAAGAACATTTACTTTCTGCATAATTGTGTTGACTCTATAATACCAACACGTTTCAGGTTATTTCAGTTTAACAGAGCCACATATTTTAGAAAATCTAAACTAATACATTTCTCAAAATATCAACAAACCTAATTTTCTTCAGGAACGAGTACTCCGTGTCAAACTGCTGGAGTGACAGAAGCTCAACACTATTCAACACTTGTTCTAGTGTATCAAGGTCAGAAGCTGTCAGAAGTCTGGAGAATGTCGTCACCTGTGGTTTGAAATGAGAAGTATCAAGGCCTTATAAATGCTTGCGAGCATGTATTTGAAACCACTATAACAACATAACAACTTTTAGGTTACCTCTGTGAAGAAGGAGTGGCAATGGACTTCCTGCATTGTGTGTGCAAGAATGAAGTCGGCTAAGCAGCTGTTATTCTGCTCTTCGAAGTAAACTCTGGCCAGATTTTCACTCTCCACTTTGGGAAGGCCTGTGCAGTCCAACCGCACAACTGAGTCTGGTGTGGCACATCTGAGCAGTATGAGTTTTGCCTCATCCAGTACTCTCCTCTCAGGATCTGAGATGTCCAAACTGTCCTTCTGCGTTTCTACAACTTGTAGTACCACTGAAGCACATGTGTCTGAGTGGTAGCCGATAAAGACGTCTGGCGGTTGGTACTTGTAAGCCTGAGCTACTGTTGCGTGTTGATTGCTGAGAGAGACAAAGAGTTTCAACCATCCCTCCAGTTCTTCCGCAATCTTCGTCTGCTCGGTTTTAAGGACAGTGTGGATGTCCATGTAATGTTTCTCCAGCCTGTTGATGAGAGGTATTGGAAACTGTTTGTAGACAACCTCTCTTTCCTCAATGACAATCAGCCGGAAGTCCCTGTGCACCCGACATTTCACACGGTGAGTTCCCAGTCCAAGATCCACATATTTCTGTCCTCCCAACCAAACATAGTATTGGTTGAGGGCATCGTACAGGCTTTCATAGAGGTTTTGCAAGTTTAGGAGAACAACCGTTTGACCTGTCTCCATGCAGACCTTTACTCTGTTGATGTTGCGGCAGATTTGGGTGTACTCTTGGTCTTTTGGGAAACTGGATCCAAAGATTATTTCTGGCTGACCATTTTCTGAAAAGAAGGTTTGCTGCAAGATTTGTAGCGCTGCATAGTTTTTTGTCAGTACCAGCAGGTAACGACATTCTTCTTGTCCAACCGACTGAATATTTTCCTTCACAAACTCAATGGCACTGATGTTATCCAGGTCCTGTGGAAAATTCATTCTTTTGGTAAAGACGGAAACTGCGTCAACATCATCCTTTCCACTGAAATTTCTCAACACTGCCTTTATGGTTTCTTCTGGAGTGGGATTCCTTTGAGAAGCTTTGGCCACTGCAAAAATCATCTTAATCAAGCTGTAATAGTCGCGTAGGCCAAAAAAGCCTTTGCCTTTTTTACAGACGTTCAAGTAGGCTTTTGCAAAGGGCTGGAATAAATCCCTGACTTTCTCCAAAACCATTGCATCAGATTTGCATATGCCTTTAGCACTCTCAATGAGTTCCCTCTCATCAGGGTCACCACGGGAGACAAAAATGCCTCTGTTCATCTTTGCAGGGTCTAAAGCCCAGTTTGAGATGCCTATGAATCCAACCTTTTTGTGTGGTAGTGGCTCATCATCAATGCATCCCTCTTCTAGCAGTGGATGGAGGGTTTTCAGTGGCATTTTTGGAGAGTCCTCAGCCAGACCAATCTCATCAAGAACCACGACTGAAATGTACTCAGCCAGGTTCTTTCCTTCCTGGAAGCGTCCGCATTGTTTGAATGTATTAATGATGCCTTCTGGTGTTGAATGAGGGCTACACTGGAAGGAGACCAAATGGATTTGTTTAAACCCTTTGTAGAGATCTGAATGAGCAGCTTGGCCCTGCATTGCATCAGCCACAAGAGTTTTAGACAGAGATTTTGAACTGCCAGGTTTCCCAACTAGGAAGAGAGGGATTTTTAGCTCAATGCAGATGACCATCATGAAGACATTCTCTTTCAGTGCGCTGTTTCTCGCAATGGTATCCCCCATTGGAACACCGCTCAAAAGCAAATCCTGCATTAGTGTGATTTCCTGCATTACTTTTTCTGGGCTGTATGGTGGTTGTAGGCTTTTGCTGATTTTCTGTCTGTATTTTTCCTTTTTCTCTAAGCAGGCATGGTAGCACACTCCAATGGCCATGACTAGAGACCAGAGAACAGGGTCTCTGACCTCCTCCTGCTGTCTGTGATGCCTTTCATTCTTCTCAGCTTTCTGTTTACTCTCAAAATCTTTTAGCTCTGCAAACAACTTGATGTGGTTGTCGTGGAACCAAACAAAAGACTGCATGCAGCGTTCGACATCTCTCAGGCTGACAAAGCTGCATTCATCCTTTTTTGTCCGCATGTACTTCTGTGAAGCTGAGAGGACATCAGTGATGCACTTGATGTAAGTTTGATGAATGGCCTTTTTTTCAACCACTCTTTGCACAATCTGCTGGATGTATATTTTCTCTGTTTGATCGTTTAACTGTCCAAAGTCCCACACCAGAGGAATCATGCTTGGTGGTAATGCTTGAACTCTGTAGACTAACTGTCGGAGGGGAATGGACCCAAGCTTTTCATCTGACTCTTCAGCCCGAACTCTGTACCCAAGGCCGGCAGATTCTAACCTCTGAATCATCTCATCCGTGTGCTTTCGGTAAGGGTTGCATGCTGCAATGATCTGCAATCCACAGTCGGATGTCAAACTTTCCCCCTTGACTGTCTTGTCACAGAGGACCTCCTTAATACTGCTAATGGCATCGGTTGTGTTGGCTTCATCAAAAAAGAGAACAGATTCAAAACCATAGTCTCCCTTGTTGATCGAAGCAAGGTCTTGAGCTTCTCTGATCTTGGTGTAAATCATCTCAGAAGTTGTGCCCCCATGCACCTTGACCAGTTTCATGTTCTCAGTGGCCACTCCACTCCTTCGCAACTCACAAAGGAATTTAATGAGCCTTGTCTTACCACAACCTGTCTCTCCCATGATAATGACAGGGATGCCACACCTGAAGCGCATATGGATTGCTAACATCTTCAGTATGTTGTCAGTGGTAAGCTCATAGGTTTCATCAGGGTCAAGGGGCCACTGGATACCAAGAACATTGCAGAGTCGCTCTATTTTCTCTCCTCTTGGAAGGACATCAAAGTCCATGTTGAAAGGGACTCTCTGTAGTTTGAGGCCTTCATACAATGCCTTTGTCATGACATTCTTTTTTATCACCCTTCCAGAAGTGGGATCGATGGCATCAACAGAGTTCGGTCCATTGGGCTCAAGATGGAAGCCAATAAAGGTCATGGACACATGGTCATCATTAAAGAAGATGTATGGATGTGGTTCTGTTTCCCATCTCTTTCTGATCAGAAAAGGAGCCAAGTCTTCGTCTCTGACACCAGTCATGTCCATCTGCAGCCTGCCAGGACTCTGGTCAGAGATGCTTAGTGATGGAGTGGCAAAGTCTTTTGCCATCAGAATCATGAAGTCCACCACAAAGGTTTTGAAACCAGTCAATCCAGTGTCTCCCGTTAACTCAGGGTCACAAAAAACTGATGACTCACAGTCTTTCAGCTGAAGATTGAGGAACCATGCAAAATTTCTCAGCTCTGCCCAGGATGGATCCATCATTCCACAGAACATGAGAAGCATCTGAAGGCATTCAACCTGTGACCCTTCAACATCTTGGTATTTGAACAAATCAAGATCATTGTGGTTATGAAACCGTGTGAGATACTGGTATGGCCGCTGAAAGGCTGCACTTCTGTATTCTTCTTTATCCATTAGTGGTTCTTCATTGGTCTCAAAAGAAGGATCATCTTGCTTCTTGATCTCCAACATTAGCACTTCTTTGGGTGGTCGGCAGAAAATATTTGGAAACAAACGTGTGAATGTGCTGTTCAAAGTTTCGGCCTATGCAGAAAAAGAGAAAATAAAAACACAACGGTTTAAGAATCAGATGTCGAATGATTAGCATAATTCCCAAAAAGTTCAAAGTCTTACCTGCCGTGAAACATTTCTAGTTGACATGTCAGTCGGCTCTAACATCTCAATGAGATACAGCTGCTTGTCACTGCACTTCCACGTCTTTCCCTCAGAGTCCATCAAATAGCGCAGGATCAACAATTTGAAAAGAAACTCATGGAGACCTTTCTGCACCTTTTGAATCACATAAAACATAGCCAAATTAACGTTATATGTAAGCTTTCGAGTTACTAAATATTTATTAGGCAATATTAAACCAAGATAAGCATTAAGATTCATATTTACCGATGATGTGACGTCAAAATGGAACATCGTGAGTTCTTCACCTTTGGGGGTGTTCAACAAAGATTGAAGGATGACATTCTCGTCAACATTTGGTTCAATCAGGCGAATGCATTTCATCCTTGATGGCTTTTTGGAGTGTTTCAGTTTTTCATACAACCTCTTGATGTAGAGAGATTTACCTGCATTTAAAAAGAAGGTTTTTATTGTGGGTATTAATACTCTTAAGAGTTTACTTAAGTTCACCATCATCATTTTGAAACAGCTGAGTACTAACCAACACCAGCCCTTTTGGATGACACAACACCGACGCGCAGGCGGTCTTTGAACACAGCTGCAGCGCTGCATCGATCTGCTGGAACAACGTAGTGTTTGTGGAGGTATCTCTCGATCCCGTCCAATGGCTCCTGGGGAACCATGTGCAATCTGTACTGGCTGAAGGCTGAAGGAAGATAGGCATGTTCTCTTTCAGAGCTGCAGATGAGGACAAGTCTATAGTCTTTTCGGCTCTGCATTTTCCTTCTCTGAAAAAAGTTCTCAACTTTAGAGCTCACATCATAAGTGAGCAGATCTCCGTACAGCAGAGTGTATATCTTCTGTCCCCTGTACCCTTGGCTGAGACAGCGTCTGAGGAATAGCTCCACCTGTTCGTACGATGTTGATGAGTTGCACAGAAGGACTTCATCATAGGTGGGAAGTGACTCTGCTTCACTACTCATGTAAATGGAGATGCAAGATGTCAACACCTCACCGTGCGGGCAAACAATGAGGTTTGGATTTCCGGCGGCCAGGCCTTTGGGTAGCTGCCTCTGAATTAAATGTCTGGTGTCATCATCAGAAATGTCTTCATCACTCTCATCTTCTTCACTATCTTCTTCTTTGTTGGCTAGTAATTCCAACAGTCTTCCAAGACTTTGTATATCAAGAATGTGTGGAAGATAAGTTTTCATGTCTTTCATATAAGCATTCCATATCTGATAAAATGTTTGCACACCATTTGCTTGGACAACAAGACTGAGAGAATCCATCTCATTGGCAAAGTCTGTGTCTCCCAGCTCACTTGTTGGCACGATAACAAAAGTCTGATACTCAATTTCTTCATTTTGCTCTTGTGGTTTGGTGAGGATCTCATACTGGAGTGTATGCCAGACCTGCCTCAAGTCTGAAGCTGTGCAATTTGGCTTGACAAATGAGAGCATCATGAGAACTTGGTCCTCAATTTTGGCCACATTTTGCTGAGTCAACTGGCTGCAGAGGTAGACAATCTGTTCGGCTGTGTAGTAGTTCAGGTAGTAATGCTCGGACCTCTGTTTGTCCACAAAGTTCATCCAATAATCTAGGCATTTCTCAATTTTCCTGCAAAATTCAGGAAGCTGCTCTACTATGCTGCCCTCCACAATGACAACACTGAGAACACTGCCCAGGTTGAAGTCCATCATAATGCTGGGTTCCTTACTGCTCAAACTGCAGTTGATCTGTGCTTCCCAGTGCCTGAAAAGAGGATTCCCAGCAGTGTAGAGGGCAATGAATGCCTCAGCTAGTCTTTGAACACTAGCAAAAACCTGAAAAATAAATACAAACCTATCGTCAGATTACACATTGAATCATCTTTTGTATGTACTTGGTAGTCAGGAGACATACTGTATATGGTATATTCAATATTTAAAGAAATGTGTTAAACTCTGAAAGATAGAAAAAACTGAATAAATTGTTTTTTATTATTATTATTATGAGCCCATATAGAACAATTGGTTCTATGGTAAACTGAAATGACCTAGCTGATGAGGGAACAATTTCAATATACCTCTGCAAAGTGATCAACTTCATTCTGCCCTTGATCACCTTTGCCAGACATGAGCATAAGTTTGTTCTGCAGCTCTCGAAGGTCCTCAAGAGAATACCAGCGCATCCTCTGACCCTCATCATTCTCCTCTGGAATCTGCAGCTTCAGGGCGGAGTCAAGACTCAACTGGAACGAAAAACAGAAATATAATCTCATACATAATTCTGTAGGAACTTTCTCAGAGACAACCTCTGTACTTCATGTATGTAAGGTTGCTATCATCTTGGATTTTGTTATTTACCTTTTTTACATTTTGTGCACTGATGAGGTAGATACCCTTGCTGTTGATGGCTGATGCTAAGGAAAGAGATGACAGCTCCACCGATCCATGACTGTCCTTCACAGTCTTCAGCCATTCCAAATGCCGTGCACTGTCCCTCTAAAAAACAAGATAAGATTGGCAATGTGCTGATTAATATTCCGTGTCTATTACAAATACTTGGGGTTAACCCAATTAGCCTAACTGTATGATAAAAACGTTCACACAAGTGTTTGTAGTTAATTTACTGTTTGCAATCGCTATTATTATTTTATGTCAGAGGATTGTCTCCTTCAACAAATTTGTAACTAAGTAAATTGTCCGTAACAACAGAGAAACAATGTCAACACGGGTTATTTTTAACACAAGTACGTTTTAAGCTTTAATATTTCAGAAGAAGTATTGGCTTTCTCACCAGTTTATCTGGTAGTTTGCTGTCATTCTTCAAAGCTTTCCAGAGCTTCTCGAGCACCTCTTTGAAGATGTTGAAACCAGCATCTTGTTTGAGCTCATAAAGCATTGAAGAATATCCTTGGACAGCATCATGGAAGCAGGCGACACGATCCACATCCATGTCATTCTCTCCCGCGGAGATGGAAGCCAGGTCAACGAACACCTTCAACTCATTGATATCTGAAAGCAAATAATAATTGTTTTAGCTAATTTGCCTGAATCAGCAATAAAAGCCTTGTTAATACAGCATATTGTAACTGTTCTTACCTTCAAGTGAATCTTTAACCCAGTTTACAAAGTGTCCTCGGAGTCCCAGCTCCTGCAGGCACAGTCTGCGAGCCTCAGTGATGTCCACCAGCACTATCTTTGCCTGGATCAAGTGATTGTCAATCCGATTCAGCGGCTCGTTCTGGAAGTCTGCCTGGCTCTGAAGGGAGAAGAATGTGAAAAGAAAATATTAAAAAAAAAATAGATATAGCCGTATTGATTTTCACATAATGTGGAATCTTTGTTGGGTGCAATATACTTAGTTCATAGCCACTTACAACTTCAGTGAGTGTCTCCAGAACCCTGAAGTCCCCCTGGAGACAAAGCGCCTCTTTGACCTTCATGATAATTTGAGCTGAGGCCACAGCTAGATGAAGTTCGTGATACTGCTCGATCTGTTGAACCCTGCTGTGGATCCACTGTTTGTCAGTGGATTTATCAATTCTGCACATGATTTCCAGGTCCTTTGCAAGCTCTTCGTACCTGCCCTTGTAATCATGGAAAAGCTGGTTTACCTCCTCGAGCGTTATACTGCTATTCTTCAGACGAGTGTAGATGTCTTTGTATTCACCATAGCAAGGCTCGAAAATGTCATCGTGTATCATTTCTGGTGTTGCATTAATGTCCGCTATTTGAAGTGCACCAGGGTCGGCATCTGGCATTTCTTCTGCAACCATGAGTTTGGCTTGATTCTCCCAACACACTTTGAATATATGACTGTCTCTGAAGGTGAACAGGATCTCGGCCATGTTTTTGATTTCTTCACCCAGTTTAAAGTAGGTGACAACACCCGCATCAGGTGGGGACAGCTGATCAAATGGATGAACCTCCATAAAATGGTTCAGCTGCATCGATTCCACGTTCACATGCTTTCTCTCTTCCATGTCCTCAAGATCAACTGTCATGGAAATGAAATAAGCATACGTTAGCTCTGCTGCAACTATGATAAGGAAACCAAACAGAAGGATTTTCCACCATACCTGTCATATGTTCCCCAAGTTTGTGGCTCATTGTTAAGACAATGTCCACAAGCTCCTTCTCATGGTACACATTGTTCAATTCATCCTCTCTGCATTGTAACAGCCTCTTCATTTTGCCATTATCCCTGTATTGTTCATTCTCAGAGAGGCATTCTGTCAAATACCAATTCAAACACACACATCTCAAGGTTACTATTATGCTTTATAAATGAAATGAAATAGCATTTTTTGGGGGGTTATTTATTTTGTAATAGATGTGATGTGAAGCAGAGTGTTTTACCAATCTTCAGCAGATCTAAGAAGGCGGCTTTCCTGTCCAAAATGATTTTCAGCAGGCTGGTCTTTATGGTTCCACGGACCAGTTGATTGTTGACGGCTGTGAATGATGATATTGCAATGGCGATTTGGTCCCTGGCATCTTGAGAGAGCTCATTGATCAGCTTCTCATCTGCGCCTGCAATGAGAGAAATGAAATGGTAGTTTTTTGTCTAAAACCACATAAATATTCTAATGCTTATCTTTTGCCATGAGATCATTAAGTGACTCTACTTCTGTTAGCTGGCTTTTTTTACAAGTATATTAAACCTCATAACTGTACAGATTATTTCTATTTGGTGTGTGCATGTTTAAATTGGTTTATATATTCAAGCGGAGATACCATGTAGTTTGAAATAGTCTTTGGCGGCAGTCCAGGAGAGTAGGTGCTGAAGGACCAATTGTTCATCATCCTGATAATTTCCTTGACGGTCCTTTGGCCAGGATTTCTCGATAATGGCTGATATGAGTTTCCCGAACTTCCAGTTCACCTTGAATTTCTCCAACAGCTTCCCCTCAGACTTAGTCTACATTATGAGGAAAAACATTACTGTGAATCTTTTATATCCGGCCAGGACTGTAATAAAACAGGGAACCAATATAATAGGTAATAGATTTTAAGAAGTTGTCAAACCTGGCATAAAGATGTAACAGCCTCAAGAGCACACCTCTCGACACTAGCAGCAACGAGTGGATAGGATTTAGTGAGTTCCTCTATCTTTGTGCAGTAAAACTCAATTTGATCCACAGCAGATTCCTAAAAGCAGATGCATGGAGGATATATTAAATGTTTGTTGTTAACCGAAAATGAACAGTGATGTGTAAAAGAAGTATCACTTACCTGTTTGTATTTGCCCTCAAAATCCTTTGTGAATGTCTCTCTCCATACTTTTGTGCAATCTTTATCCTTGAATTGGATGGACATGATGTTGTTCCACATCTGTTAAACACAATCAAACAGAAGAAAACATGTCAAACTTTCTCTACTGATGATCGGTTGTGAGCATCAATCTGTACATTTTGTGTTTCATTAAAAAAATAAAACAAAACTGCTCACTTCAGTCTCTGCTGTGGCTTCAACTCTGGTGTACATGGATGAAATTGCCCTGTTTAGCAAACCATGTCTGTAGGATTGACTGATCCAGTTTCTCATGATGGACATCGCCCGAGAGATCAGTTCTTTAGCGTAATGCTGCTCGTTCTCTCCTTTCTGAGTCTCCTACATAAGAAGCAATATTACAGAATTTGAGATAAAAAAAGGAAGAATTCTCTACGAAATGCAAATAGCTTTATATGATTCACTTCATATACCTGTGGCTTGTTACTGTGAACAAAGTCTGACACGGATGCAACCAGATTCATGCAAGCTACAGTTACATCCGGGTAGTTCTGGGTATAAGATGCCGGCTTGACTCCCTTGCAGAGCTTTTCCAACAGTTTCACTGATGTGTCAAGGCACTCTTGCCTATACGCCTCAGTTAAAAGGCTTGAATAAAAGCAAACAATAGAAAGTTAGTTAACATATTACCATCCGTATACACATTTGATTTCAAGTTCTGCACAGTAAAATTGTCATAAAAGGATACAAAAAGAACAAATCCCAAGTCTTAAAATGTGAACTATTGGTATGATAACAATTAAACCAACAAATAGAAACAAGTTGTCTGTCTCTGACTTTAGAGTTAACAATTGACCTCATCTGCCTGCCTTTAGACTGCGGGAGGAACCTGGAAAAAATATTGCTAAGACTGGAAGAACACTCCAGCGTCTTTCTTTTCATGCATTTGACACATTTCTTGTTTTACACTTTTAATTGCAAACCAACTGAATATGAAACGGAAAATTACCTGTACTTTTCTTCAACAAGCTTTTCTTGGATATGTGAGAGAATTGGAGATACTGTCTGAAAAGCAGAAATCCAAAAATATTAATTAATTTAGTGAAACTTGCTAAAACCCTGAAATGTATATTATTTGTACTAGATATTCCACTTCACCTGGTAGTTACTGCTCGTAATATCCTGAGGAGCCTTGTTAGTGAAAACATGAAGCATGTCCAAAAGCTCGATGTCAATGAGGTTACACTCCATCAGATCATCCAATGGGATCAGGAACATGCAGGATCGCACAAAAAGTGCATCCACTTCCATCAAGTGACTGTTGTTTTTCATCAGATTCACTAGAGACCTAAAAAAAAATAGACAATCAAGTAAATGTATGTACAGTAATATATATTCTGAACAAAAGTACTGACAGACATGAATCTTACTTCCTGTCTTCACTGTTCATGTATGCTGCTGGGGTACCAATTTCAAGGCCTTGCAAACCTGCCCAGGCTACACCATACTTTGAGTTTCCAGAAGTTGGTACTTCAAAGGGCTTCGTGTTGCCTTTGAGAAGGTGGAAGAGCGGCAGGACCAGAATCCATCGAGGCATTCTCGCTGTTTTCACAGTTTTGATCAGATACACCAACATATCTGTCAGACTACAACAAAGAAAATAGTATGAGCATCTGAATAGAAAAACATCTTTAGCTGCTCTTAAATGTGTAGATTGCTACCTACTTTTTGTTGATAATAGCGACATCCTGAGAAAACTCTTCCCAGTAACTGAGGAACTCTTCTTTGTCCCGTTTGGGTAAACGGAGCATATTGCAGAGCTGATTGAGTTCACCATGTTCCAGTCTGAATTGATGCTGTCTCCATACACAGAGCATGATCACAGCTGCTCTCATGGGATCCTGAGTGTAGAGCATCTCCCCACCTCCATCCTTCCTCAGAGGAATAACCTTTGTCAGCATGAATTCTTTCAGCATCTTTCTCACCTAGGGAATAAGAGGTAAGGAGTAAGATGGTTTAGCCATACCTGAGGGCATGCAGTATCTTTACACAATGATTATGAACTTACCTCCTCTTCCCCATAGTTTAAGGAGTACCACTTCTTTTGTCTTTCTTCAAATACAAAAGGCTCTCCATAAACTTGACAGAACTGATTCAGCTGGATCAAAAAACTTCTCAAATTGGTATCAGTCCAGCTCCTGAGAAGATCAAATATGGACTCCAGCATGATGTTCCCTGCGATCTCTCTGCCTTGAATCAGATTCTTCCTTTGGTCAGGCCAGAACGTTTCTTTTATTTTATTCGTCAATTTATTGAGCACGGTCTTCGATGACTCGGCACAAATGATGTCATCATATTGATGCCAGTCCCCTTTACGAAAAGAAATACAACATAAATGTTATGTGTGTCAAGTAAATACATCATAATATGATAATCAAATACCATTTTCATGCAGGAACTATGATTAAAAATAGACCAAGTGAAGGTTACATTTACCGTCGTCAGTGACAAGGCCGGGTTTCACAAACAAACACCTGTTGGTAGTTTGGTGAGTAGAATCCAGTTTGTATATGTACTCAAACTCGTATTTGCTCTTTTTTTTGTTATAGACAACATATTTGTACGGTATTGGCTCAGATACAGCTTCAGCTTTGATTGTAGTCAGACTGCCCTCAACCAGAAAACCATGTTCTCCAAGATCCCTGTGAAAGAAGACAAGAAAGTAAAATGTACTGTATGTGGTGTTAAGAGTGGGAAGTGAAAATAAGAGCAGGCTAGTATGTCCATGAACAACATCAAATTCCACGGCCATGATTCCCTCAGCCATTGAGTGGGGCAGTTTAATTCTAGATACATCTAGTTTGTATACAACATATACAAACCAAGCTGCATATGTATGTGTAGTCTGTGCGCATGCAAGGATTGGGTGGGGAAAATGTATTTTCTTTTAATTAGCAAATAAATTCTTAAGAAACTAAAGACTTGATTTTAAAGTAAAAACTGGATTTAGGACAAATATTTTAGGGATTTATTATTGTTTCCCATATATTAGGCTACCATCTGAGCTTAATTGACGATGCACCCAAGAATAAGCGTAAGCATAATACCTGGTCACAGACAGCTCAACTGCATTTTCGTCCCACGTTCCAATGGTTTGCCCAGCCCTGATGAAGATACGATCTTTATCAGGATCAAATTTGAAATCCTTTGAGAGAACTGCATGAAAGTAAATTGTGAGTCTTTCCCGTGCAGCAATGTTCTTGTTCCTGGTGGACCTGAGAAGGAGAAACAAATAAAAAGAGATTGTGTGACACACACATAAAACTGATCCAAAGCAAATGTGTGCCATTGTTGGAGAGAGCTTATTCACCTTTTGGGAGGCGGTTCAGCATGAGTGCTGGGCTCCTTGCTGTCCTGTTTACTTCCCTTGTTGGGGGTTTGTTCTGCCGTTGAGTCCTTCTCGCTGCCAGACTGCTGAGCCCCCAGGGTCTCCTCCGCGTCGACACTGGAGCCTGTGGGGTCAGCCTGGAAAAAGTAGCATTAAACACGCATGTTAAATATACAACTTGAACCAAATAAAAAAAACGAATAAACATTCTGCACCAAAAAACGTATTTTATTCAATAACATTTCCTTTTCATACATTTTAGTCTGCATTACCTTTGAAGGTGTTTGAGGCCCAAACACCATCGGATTCTGTTTCTGCTCCTGCTGACTCTTTCCTTTCTGTTTGCTTTGTCCTGTCTGCTTCTCATTTTTCTCTACGTTGGCATTCTGGTCCATTGCAGGTGGTTTATTGGCGTCCAAGTCTTTCTTTTTCTTTGAGCCTTTCTTTTCAGTCTTTTCATCTTGTAGGTTTGTTGCCTTGTTCCCTTTGCCTGAACCTGCCTGAGAAGTTACTGTCTTGCTCTCACTCTTGCTGTCTTCTGAGATGGGAGTCGGAGTGTCAGCTGGTGCTGTGTTGGGAGCCTGATCCTGAGCTGATTTCAGTGCATTGCTCTCTCCCTCAACAGTGATACCTGGAGCGTCCCCAGAATGTATCGGAGTTCTTGCCTCTAATGCTAAAGCCTCCTTTTCACTCTGAACCTCTTGTTTGTCACTCTTGCTGTCTTCTGAGATGGGAGTCGGAGTGTCAGCTGGTGCTGTGTTGGGAGCCTGATCCTGAGCTGATTTCAGTGCATTGCTCTCTCCCTCAACAGTGATACCTGGAGCGTCCCCAGAATGTATCGGAGTTGTTGCCTCTAATGCTAAAGGCCTCCTTTGTCACTCTGAACCTCTTGTTTTGTCTTCGAGGCGCGCCCGCAGGAATCGTCAGCCCTGCTACTGAACGTAGGCTGCCTCTCTACGTGAAGGAGGCCATCTTGGAGGCGACTCTTGGTGTCTCAGTCCATTGCATTTTCTGGAGCTTTCACTGTCAGAAGAGTCTGCCCGGGCCCCGAGTCTTCTTTCCCCTGGCTGTCTCCCAGGTGAGACATGAGACATGTCTTTGGGTCTGATGACAAGGCGCGCGCTTCTTTCTTCTTTTTGTTTCCTCTTCCTCTTTTTTTTTCTTATGAAGACCGGAGAGCTGGAAATCAGTTTTTACAAAACCATCCTTTACTGCCTAATGCTTAAAACTATGCGAGTCAACACCTTTTTTGTTTTAATGGCCAGACATTCTCAGATTTCTTAAGATCTAATACTACTTCTGACCGCTCTTCTAAATGATGTACAAACATAATCACACACAATAACAGCACAATTAGCACATCGGTGCAAACGACCTGAGTATAAACTCTGCCATTTATAGCCAAATAAAAAACAAGGAAGGTGTCATTCTGACACATAAACTTCATAAAAAGCACAAAGACTTGTAGAAATAACCAAATATTGAGACTTCAAATGCAAAGTATAACACAGCTATACAACAATTAACATCGCTAATTGTGACTCACATGAATCACTGTATAGACACACACACAAAAAGAACACCGCAATACCTCACCCACCACACCTCTCACAAAAAAACAACCACGTCTATCTCTTAATGGATTGGTCCTGCATCCAACAGCAAATACAGCGTCAACTCATTGGTCGTTGTGGGCCATCCACGGATCTACTTGGCACTCTTTGTCTGT